ATTAAATTTGAAACTTAGCTGTGTAAGGTAACTTGGAGATCGATCATCTGTTGGCATATCCAAAGTCACACAAGTGGGCAGAGCCAGCATAAAGGCCAAGTGTCCCATTCTAATTCCAGGGTGTCTTCCATCCACCAAAAGTTTCCCCTTCCCTATCATATACCTCGTCTATTGTTAATCTTTCAAAGTTAGGCTGCATATTGCCTGGTATATGTTTAGAGAACTCTCTGGTCTTGAAATCTATGAAAAATGATGTCTGGGGGAAAAAGAATTTTGCATAGTTTATAGGGGATATTTAGACAGTTTGCATTATGACCTGTCTAATTACCTTCTATATTTAAGGTCTGCTGTAAGGCTAAGGGCGATTAGGTAGGGTGATGTGTAGAAGTGGAAATCTATAATAGGAATAAGATATATTAGGATGAAATAGGTCAAGTTCTTAGAGGATAAAGCCAGTGGAGTGCTACTTGGATGCTAAGCCACTCTGGGAGCAATAACAATAGATTTTAAGATAATGTACAATTAAGACTGAAGGATAGCCTGAGTAAACAAGTTTGAGCAAGAAGAATTGAGTACGAATTCACCATATTACAGCTGTAATGTAAACAGATGGCCTTAGCTTTCAAACTCTGATGAGGATAATGTAAATTTCCATAGGTTTGAGCTGATGCTTTTACTTTGAAGTAGGTTGCTAGAGAGGAGGCTTATGTAAACACATTTGCTCTTTATATGAAGGATAAAAAGGCAGAAAAGAAAAGTAACCCAAGACAGTTGAGAGGAAGCTACTAGGATTCCATAAGCTGCATCCAAAGTTTTTTTTTTAAAGGTAGTAAGAGCAAGAATTTAGACAAATCTTTAAAAACAGTTGTTTTCAAGAACTCAATTGAAGATATACAATATAAGTCCAAAGAAACAAAAGCTACTGGCTGTTCATTGGCAAGATAACTTAAGAGGGTTAAAGATGTGAAAGAGAGAGGAAAAAAAAAAGAATCAATTTCATTGAGTTAACAAGAGGCAGAATGGTATAAGGTCCTGGGAAGAAATGAACACAGAAAGGTAATCTATTTATACAAGTCAAACTTGCAAAATGCACACACATAGTATATTTTAATAATTTTCATCTATAAAAATTATATTGGGAAATTTTCCCCTTCCCTGTTTCTCTTCACAAGGAAACCCTGGAGGAAGCAAGAACCAGATAGCAATATTGATTGCTCTTGTTCGTCCTTCAGTTTCCAAAAGGGGCTGTTTTGAGCTAGTGAATCTATAACCCTGTGTACGTAAGGCATATGCATAATGTTATTTGGGCTCTCTTTTATTGATTTATTTTGATTGATTTACTTTTAGATTGTCTACATGACAGGAAATGCAGATAAAGCTGCTATTTGAAAATGGTTTTCTTCCTCAACTGATTCCGAAATACACCCACTACTCCTACATTTGATTTCCAGCTGAAGCCTTTGTGATGAATGCTGGTTGTTTCACGCTGGAAAAAGTATCTAGGAGCCAATCAAGAATGGTTGGCAGTCCTTTGATGTATCCAGGACTTTTTGATTAGGAAAAAAAGAAAATAACCCACAACTATTAGATAACTTCAATGTGAATAAAGAAATTCTTTCTATAGGAGAAGTAAAAACAAACACAGAACTATCTTTACCCTTATCCTTCCATGAACCTCTTTTCTGGTTTGCAATCCTTTACTAAAAAGGATTTTCTTTACAGTTTATGCTTGTGAAATTACAGCCTCCAACAATTAAGTTTTCCTGTCAGTTTAGTCAATTTCAGTCATCTAGAAAAAACATGGCTAATGTAAAAGCAAAAGGTGTTCTGAACCTAGAAACTGAGTGACCTGATTAGTTCAGCCAGGGCATTTTTGTTGTTCGATTGATGGGGGACCCTGGCTAGCACATTTTGGAACCAAAACATCTGACAATGTGACTCCCTCTACTCTCCTGGCACTTAAAACGCTCTACCTACTAAGTTCTTACTTCTAAAAAAGACAATGTCCTCTCCAAAACATTACTAAGAAATCAATCTGTGTCCCTCTTTCTTTTTATTTTGACTTCCCAGAGACACCGTCACCCACTCTAGGACTGCCAGTTTGCATAGGAACACATTTTGTGGCATAATACCCCACCATTATGAAGACTTTTGCAAGAATACCAGGACTTCTGAGAAAGATATTTGAGAATATTTAATTATCAGACTCTTATAAGTTTAACTAGCACACATGAAAATATCCTTGGCCTCCAATGGACAAATAGTTGTTTTTATTCCCAGTCAGTTTATATCAATATTTGTCGTTACCTTTTAAACATACTGCATGGGTCCCATTAGATCTTTCAAGGGACAAATCATCCAGTTGGTGGATTATCAAGGTGTTTGCTATTTCTCTTCTTTCCCTCCTTTCCATCATTTGAATATTTGACCATCTGTTTACCCTGGTCAAAGTCATCCATCCACGTGTATTCTTACTAGCAGTTCTGGGAAATATTTTGGAAGGGAAGAAGTTAGAAGCTAAAGCTATTGGCGCAAATGAAGCTTTGGATTACCTGTGGATTTTGATCATCTCTTCAGTTCCTGACCCCCTCAACAGCATGGATAAGTCAGTATCTGAGTATATGAATAGCCGTTAATGACTGATAGAAAACACATCTATTTTTCATGACACAGTTCAAGGAGCAGCTTGCTACGTTCCTGTTTCTGCTGGTGTGCTGTTCCCGAGCCCCACAAGCTTGCAGCCTTCTTGGCAGCTGCCGTCTCTATCAGTGGGGTAGGGACATGAGGCAGTGATCACAGACACCTGGCTATGGCTTGCAGCAGAGTTACACAACTGCACACACAAAATGGCAGAGAAAGAGCAAGAGCTAAAAGGATTCTGGTTTGGGCCCAAATTACTAGTCATTTCACTTCATGAATAAAAGCAAGCGCCTTACAAGCTTACATTATTTACAGTGCTCAGATTTTTCAAACATCCGTCCAAAGCTGAGGACCACCACGCAACAGGGAACAGTTCAATGAACTATGTACAGAATTTACAAGGAAGTTTACATAATATTCTACATTCCATTAACAAGTTTGCCTTCGTGTTTACTGTTTGCTTTCAGGAAACTCAGGTATTTTTGTTTGTTTTTCTTTCCTCCTCATCCCAGTAACTGCCGATTGAACCAATGTGAGCAAATGCTTGCACATTTCTTTTTCCTCCATCCTGGGATATAAGATTACATTTTGTTTAGGGGAAAAAAAATGGCGGCACAACACCTTTGGTGAGATACTAATCAAATAGTCCATATAAGAAATCTTGGAGATAGCTTCCTTTTAGCATTATAAATATATCTTTTTGTTTTAACTTGGCACATTTTAATTGAGGTCCTCCTTAAATGAATATTTATAAAATAGTCATTGATTTTAGAAAGATGGAATTTAATCACATCTCTATGTATTATACATAATATTTGTTTGAGGAAATCCTATCCTTGGACCCATAAACCAAAGTTTATTCTCTGCACCACATTTTTCTCTTTGAGATTTCAAAATCCTTCATTGATTGTAATGCACAATAAAGACAGTATGCATGAAAACACATATCATTCAGTCAGTAGAATTACCAACCAGTCTGCTGTTTCTGTTTGGCAACGTAGAGGGCAGAGGCAATGATCCTGGATAATTCAAGCCCAAAATATGTCTACACCTGGGTCTTTGCCTCACAAAGCTGGTAAGGGTAATGCACATGTCACCCCTGATATTTTAAGCCAGAGAACATGAATGGGAGGAATGAGTGTGTATTCTTCATTGTGAAGTGAAAGATGGGATTTTTGCTGGCTCTATACAGGGTTTAGACAAGATTTATGAACTGTGAACATGAGGTTGATTCCCTGTACATGACTGTGGTATCAGAGAGTGAATCCTTGCAATTTTCAGCCTCTGCTGCCAATTAAGTAATGAAGCAGATTATGGCTATTTTCATGGTAAAAACAACCTGAAAAATAATTAAACAGTAACTCCTCTATAATGTAAGGATCTGAATATTTCAGGAATGGGGAGAAGTTTGAGGGCACTTAGGAATGTCTAACCACTTACATGTTTTCTGTAGATTTGGGCAAGACAAGGGAGAAAGGCAGAGGAGAAGGAAAGATTTTCTTTTCCATGCACTGTTTAGCCTGGAAGGGGAGTAGATGAGGGTCAAGCAGGGGAGGGTTTGGCCAGGACGTGCCCAGAAAGAAGGACGGGGAGACAGAGGTCATTAACCAGAAAGCTGGCAGTTTCTCTGTTCTTTTGGCTGCCTTTGCCTCTAAAATCAGAACCATGTAACAGGATTTTAAAAATGGTGGCTCTGACCCCTCTATTGTCCAGGAGGAGACATAGTGATCCCATTTTGTGCCTGATGGATAGATTCAGGAGCGCGAAGGTTACAAAGGTTAAGGTGTAGGAATCAAGAAGTTCTTTTCTTCTCAAAGATGTTTACCTCTAAAAGTACAATCATCAAATTCTATAGACTCCTTAAGGCAAGATAAAAAAGTAATAAAAATAGAAATGGTGTTAGTCTTTTCTAAGGAGAATGATCCAAACAAAGAAATCAAGAGAAATTGTTTTGTTAAGGAACACAGAGATTACAGACAACTACCTTTCTGATTTAGCTTTTCACCCTTAAAAGCTTTCAGAAGTGCTTTGACATCAGAATGATTCATTTTTGTTAGGAATCAGCACAAAGTCTTTCTTTCAACATTTAAAATAAATGGCTGCACAGTGGTTCCTGGTTGATCACTTGGAATATGAACCTTATGATCACTGGTATGACCACATTCTCTTCTAATTGGGCATTTTGTAATTTATGATTACCTATAGCGAGGCAGCTCACCCTGCCAAGGGACTGAGCAAAGTTTCAAGATGGATCACTTGGTCCCCAGAAGCTGGGGATTTCCTCGACCAGGGAACTCTGATAATCGAAAAGAAAACCTAAATGAAAATTTGGTCCCCATGCCCCACTAGTTTCTCATGATACCATTTTTTTCCAAGTAAAGCAGAGGTTTGATATTCTTACTAAATGCATGTTCTCTTCAACCATAATCATTCATTTATTTTGAGGTGGAGTTCCCTTTTCCTCTCACTATCTAAAAGAGTATTCATAACTCTCTCCCCTTGGGCTTATCAGTGGGAATTTAGCCTTATCTTTACAATTAAGACCATAATTTCCAGCAGCTGATACTACTACAAACACGGCCCTCATCACAGCCTTCGGGAGAAAGCCAGATCATCAGACAAGGCAACCATCCTCATCATTACCTCAATCCTTATTTCACATCCATGGATCAGGCCCCATCACTGGTTAGTCTCCTTAGGATTTCACTCAGCCTTGCAAATGATCACACAGACTTCATAGATTTGTTGTTTGCTGCTGTTAAGTCAAAATAATAATAATGTTTTAATGACATACAAGGGGACAAATTCCAACTATAGTTGGTTGACTTGTTTAGAATTGTGTTGGTGGGCTACTGAGGGATGTCCTTTCTATGAGAACCAAGCCTAGCAGTAATACAGGAGCAGAGATAAGGCAGAGCAATAATGAAATTGATTAATGGTATAGACAGGGCTTCCACTTTAGGGGGTGGTGTCAGTGTTTGAAGGCCCAGTGCTTTTGTCGTTGTTGTTGTTATCTGTGATTTTGCTATTCTGAAGGTTTTCTTTAAAATGTAAATCTACCCACAGAGGAGAATGACACCAAAATGAGTGTCCATGCATTTCCTGAAGCATTCATTTCTGTTTCCCATTTTGGAATGCAGAGCACAGAGAGCAGAGCCATCAAGTGCTACCTAAGGCCTGTTTGAGTAGCCTGTCACCATTAGATACTGCTCCCTGGAAGGCTAAGAAATATATACTATTTGATTTAAGATTTGGCAGTTCAGGTAACTGCCCAGGCACCCTTTTCACAGCACATAAATCTTGCCTTCCTTGTGGAAAGGGCAATGCTTTTCTCAAGCAGAAATTGCCCACCATTACCTCTCGCTGGCCCCTTCTCTCACTCTCTCTGGAGTACGAATGTGAAATGTGGTGGCATGGCTTCATGGCAGAGCATCAGGTGATTCCAGGATAATGAAATGAATTCAGGGCTGCTCAGTTGAAATGGTCAGTTAGAAAAGTGTTCATTGCCCCCACAAACTCCTCATTTTCAAGGAAAAAAAAAGTTCTCAATGGCTACCAGGTTGGATTCTAATGCTAATTTAAATTTTGCCTGAAAATCTGAAAGAGAAGTATTTCAGAATATCCAGCTAAAAGTTGAGGTGAAGATGGCCAGCTCGTTTTGCCTAGTCTTGATTTGTGCTTGCCAATCCCTCCCTCCTCTCCCCAGGGAGCCAAGGACCCCTCTACAAGGGACTTGGGGGAAAGTAAGGGTGAAGAGGAGTCTTCCTTCCTCTTCTAGGTTCCTTTATGTTTTCTCCTCTTCCTGGAAATCTGTAACTTGTCAATGGCTTTGTTTTTCTTCTGAGATCCTGGAAATTGTGTTTTTGTTTTTGTTTTTGTTTTTGGCAGCATGAGATTGTTACAGTTTACCAGGAAGCAGTGCAGGCAGAGAGCTAGGTCCTCTTTTCATATCCATTTAAAAAATAAATCAGTCAAATCCAGGGAGACTAGGAAAGATTGCTAAAGATCTACCTGTCTAACTTCTGTCTTCGTGTTTGTTAGTTTGTCTTTGTAAACATGGCAATTAATAGAGCTCTTATAGAGCTGATAACCTGGACCACAGTAGACTGGAAAAAAATAGAGTTTTTTTGTTTTTTTCTCCTTTTTTGAAGTAAACATGGTGCAGTAATAAAATTGATATGCAAGACCTAAAACCAATTGGATGGCTGAATCTCCTACCTCAAAAAACACAGCAGTATCACTGCTGCGGACCTGTGGGGTTAAAAAACAAGAGAAGAGGAAAGTGGTCTAAATTGAGCCACGAGGACAGACCTTAGTGCACATAGTAAAGCCAATAAACAACGTTAAAAAGAGAAAAGGTGATGGGGAAAAACATCCGGGACCACTTGTCTATGGAGTTCACATCAGTCAAGTCGGGGATTTTGACTTTGAGCTGCGAGACGCGCCTGCGGATGCGGCCCTTGCTGTGCACGCCGTGCCGGTCCAGGGCGCGCCCGTATGCCTCGCGGCTGCTCAGGGGCTTCCGGTACTGGATGCTGGCGCTGTCGTACGAGTACATGGTGGCCTTGGGGTCGCTCACGCTGGTGAGGACTTCCGAGCCGGTCGTCTCATTCCTGATTTCCAAGGTGCTGAGAAGAATGTTGCCGTGGGCGTCGACCTGACGGCAGAAAGGATATGCTCATACACAACTGCCAGGGCGCTTCGCTTGTTTTAGTTAGCCTGTTACTGATAACACTGCATCTAAACCCTGTTGTCGTCGAGTCGATTCCGACCCATAGGGCTCACTAACATTGTCTCGCTAGCCATCTGGCTCTATGTGCCTCCTGAACATGGAGATTACCTCCCTTGTCTCTCTCTCTCTCACTCTCTCTACTTACCTACGTACTGCCTACCTATATACCTATAGATCAACTATCTAAGTCTACTCACAAAAGACCAAAACTCCAGTATGTGTGTGTGTATGTTTACTGGTGTTTCTATATATTTATCAGTATCTATCTATCCATCTCTATATCCATCCATCCATCCATCCATCCATCCATCCATCCATCC